TTTAAATATGCAACTTTTTTTAAATAATTTATTTTAAATTGAATTAAATTGGAGCCGCATCCCGGAGGAGTTTGTCAGCTTCTTAGAATCATCTCAATTAAGACTTGATTAAACTCGTTATATATTTAATATATTCTCGAATTATCAAGTTTTGAATAATTTTAATTAAATATTTTTTATTCTTAATTTTTTAAAGTCAGTTTAATTGATTTAAATTACATAAACGTTAGAAGAGATCTTCAATTTGATTTTTAAAGATGAAGATTTTTTTAAAGATTATTCATAAATTTTGAAGTTTATAATTAAAAAAAAAAAATTAAATTTTATTGTATAAATTCTTTCAAATTTCAATAAAAATATAAAAATTTTAAAGCCTCAAGGCTTAACATCCCATTTGTTTTGAGCCTTTTGAGCAGCATTCGAGGAAGATAGAAAAAGGGAAACTAACTTAAAAATACGCAAAATTTACAAAATTTTAAAGAATTAAATTAAAGTATTAATTAATTTTAATGCAAATAATAATCTTTTACATTTCTAAAACAATTTTTTTCCTTATTTTTCAGGTTTCTGAAACGTTTAAGCCTTCGAATTCTCGAAAGAAATATCAATAAATCTTATAAGGTATCGAATGTTTTTATAATTCTAATGGACATTTACACAAAAAATAAGGCTCAATTAGCCTTAAAGAGCTTGTTTTTAACATAATTTTTTTTCTATAGAAAATATAGTTATTAAACTCGCCTGAAAAAAAAAAATGTTATTGAAGTTAGTTGCAAACATCAACTTCAATTGACAGGAGAACTGATTAAAAAATTATTCTCATTATCACAGAAACTATGCAATAAAGAAATGCAATTATTGCTTAGATATCTTCACAAATTGCCACAGATAACAGGCTGTTAGGAAAGGAAAAAAATGTATATGAACTACAACAAGATAAAAGCTATTTATTTTTCTACTGATAAACACTAGCAAATTTTTGTGGAAATAGCAAAAAATAATCACATAAAAATCCTTAATGTACCTTTTAAAAAATAAAAAAAAAATAAAAATTGATTTTTGTACTTTACACAATCAAAATTTCCGTTTTAGTGATAATAAAATTGCCTTTTTTTTAATAAAATAAAATTCAAAAATTCCTTCAAAAACTCTCTTTAAAATGATTATGTTTGTTCGATGCATTGTCTTTGAATAAGGCACAATTTTCCGAGATTCGTCACGAAATTTTAAGGCTATTTTCAAGAAATATCACATTTATCACTAGTTTTGAGCCTTAAATTAATTTTAAGGCGTGGTAATTAGGCTAAATGTAAAAGTGTAAAAAGTACTTTTTCTTGTTATATTGTTCAAAAATAGGCAGACTTTCACTCAATTCTTTAAGAATTATGCAAATTTTTAAGGCTTATTTGAATAAAAAAATCATGTTTTTATTCAGTTCAGTGCCTTACAATTATTTTAATTTAGTCATAAAGGCTAAAACTGAGTTACAAATTTTTAGATTAATTTTTCTTCTTACATTTTTTTTATGACAAAAACACAATTTTCCGCAATTTGCTATGAATTGTGCCAAATTTTAAGGCTTATTTCAAGAAAAATAAATTTTAATTTTCACATATAGTTTTAAAATAAACAATTTTTGAGTCTTTTAATTATTTAAAGGCTACAAAAATGTATTTTTATATGATAAATTGAGGTATAAAATATATAACTTAAGTTCTGTTTGCTATTCATATAAATTAAAGGCTCGATTTATAATAATTCTCCATTAATTGATCGTAATTTTAAGGCTCGTCTATACGTTTATCTCATTATAAACCGTTAAAATTTAGCCTGAAATGAGACTTTAGAATTAGTTTAAAATTTTTAAAGCCTTTTTAGAGTTACAGAGACTTAAATGTTCGTTAAAAATGTATAAAAATGTGAGATTTTTTAAAATTAAAACAAATATTTCACTTAATTTTAAGGGTTATAAATATTTTTAGGGTATTTCAGAGCTTTTGCTGAATAATTTCAATTTTTTTTCGAGATTTTAAGGCTTTAGTGTGGCTAAATTTTCCTCCAAAGTAGGAAATTAATTATTATTTTTCCAAAAAAATCTGTGCTATTTCCTGTGCACTACTTTCCAGCACCATCCAATTTACTGTAACCAATTAGAGTTTAGCCTTGTAGAGCGATAAGTCTAATTAAGTAGAAAAACCAAAGTTTTAGATCAAAGAAGAAGTAAATTTACTACCAAGAAAAAGTTAATTAATTGTGATCGATCTGAGAAGCGATTAACGATCGACCATTGATTCAGTTAAAGTCTAATCTTGTTTAAGGAAAGTTGGTTGTCTGCTCTTCTATCAGAATAATGTCTGTGGCTTGGATCGATAAAGAACTTGATGAAACCAACGAGTAGAAATGCTGCTCAGGGGGTTTGCTGCTGATTTTCTGCTCCTTATATAATCAGGCTTTCATAGCCTCTATAGCAGTTAACTGAACTGTAAATTACGATCAGGTTAATCCTTGGTTTTTTTTATAGTAAGATAAGGCATGGCTTCTCGAAACATTTTTTAAATTTAAATCAAAAACAGGCTCGTAATATAATACATGATTTTGGCAGATATCATATACTATAACAGGCTCTTAAAATATAAAAAATTGATTCTTATTTGTAGGCTTTTAAAGCTGGAAAAGGCTCTTGCTCAAAAGGTTGCTGCTGCTTGTTTTTTCTCTTATGTTGTCGGTCATTTATTGTTTCTACTGCACTCTAAACTGCTTAATTCTAGGTTTAATGCCTGGATTTTGATGTACTCTACTCTAATTTAGAGCCTTAAAATCGAGTTTTGTTTAAATTAAAAACAGGCTCTTAATATATAGCAAGGCTCTTGACAGAACTTAAAATAACTATTTCTTATTGTAGATTAGCCTGATTACAAGGCTTCTTTTTAAAGAGCCTTATAATCAGGCCATTTTTAGCTCGTACGTTTTCAAGCATTTGTACTTTTTACACGAGTTATCTGCACACTACACGGGTTAATTTTAATTTTAAAGGCCTAGGTTTTTTATATACTGAGCCTTAAAATTGTACATTATTTAAATTAGACAGAAGGCTATATTTTAAGACTTATGGCGAAAATTAGGAATGCACTAAGGTTAATAAAATAAGGAACTGATCCTTAATACAGGATTTTGAACTTACGAATATCTGATGAAGTGTAAAGTATGTCTTAATAAGAAACTTTAATCAGAAAATAGGCTTTTAAATAAGGCGTTTTAGACATTTTAAATAAAGTAGGCTCTTCAATAATGATCGTCCTCTTAGATAGCAATTTTCGAGATATGGGAAGGGTTTCAAATAAGGCTTTTTTAATTATCAAGTAGACTCTTAAAAAAGGATGTTTAAGCTAGGAAGTAGGCTATTAAATAAGAGCTCTGAAAGTTTCAAGAAAGGCTTTACTTAAAATATCACTTTAAAATTCACTAAGTAGGCTCTTAAATGGAAGATTTTTAAGCTATGGGGTAGGCTCCTAAAATAGGTTTAGGAACCATTTTTTTAACGGCCTAGACACCAAATAAAACACTTAAAATTAATTAATAACCTTATTTTCCTGATTGAACGTTCGAAAAATACTTTTAATTACGTTAAATGCATACGGTATCCCCTACAGGGATACACTTAACAAAAATCGATTTTATGGATCTATGGGGGCAAGTTTATGCGTGATATTTGTAGGGGGTATATCAAGTTTATACAGAAAATTATTTATAAAGCCTTAAGATAAACGTGCAGCATTGACAGTTAGGAAAGAAACGTCGTAAATGTCATCATAGAAGCAGAACTGTCGTCACCTTTTACTTCACGATAAGCTAGATAAGAGCACTACAGACTAAGTATCAATATTAATGGCGACTTAATGTCCAGCAGCAATTAGTATGCAAGTAAAACATTAAGTAAATCGTCAAACATTATTTTCTTGATTGATATAAATATAAGTACAGTATATCATATAATGAATCAGCATGGTGTATTTTTAGAACCAATTATTTGAATAAATGTCTATTGTTGAGGTGGATAAGATGCTTAAATGAAACATCTTTAAGCCTGCTTACTTTCTGTTACGTTTGTTTATTTAGTTGATTCATACAATTAAGATCTTTTAATATGTTTATCATCTTCTCCAATGATGGAGATGCGTAATAATTTCGATGTTATCCCACTTCTCTACACGTTAACTCCTATATACTGTTAAAATATCGTTTGTTGACACGTTAAAGAACTGTATAAGCATCATTTCGTGATCTTAATATTGATGTATCATGTTTCCTAGATATTAACATAGATAACTTTACATAGACACGTCTGAGTGCATAATAATGTTTGGCTTAACGTTAGGAGCTCTTATGTGATCTTTGCGTAATAGAAATTATATAACGATCTTAATGCAAAATTTGCTTTAATTTATATAAAATGTTTTTATATTTTATCTAAATAATTACAAAATTTAATTATTATATTGATTCTTTCGTTTTTTATAAAGGTATTTAAATATGCACACGCTGTAAATGTAGCTTCACTGCATAACACGTGTGTTTTACTCCACGTTATAATGATATTCTCTTTTTATTTTCAGTTTAAGAAATTATTTAAAAAATTAAAAAGAAGTAATTTTAATGTTTAAATTATATTATAATATAAAAATTCATATAAATTAATTTTTAGTAAAGAATTATACCTTTAATGAGTACAGTAGTCTCGCTACTCTAGCAAATTCTATTAATAATAAAGCATTTTAAAACATTTTAAAAGCATTTTAAGATAATTTTAAACTTTAAATTCTATTTTTAAGACGTTAAATTATACTTTATAAGCAATTTAAACTAAATTATAGTTCGTTTAATCGATCAAAATCCAGGAGGAAGAATTATTTAATTCCCTCCTGGATGTCGGGTATATTAAAAAAATCGCTTGTTATATCTAAAAAATTCATGTTTAGAGACAAAATAAACGAATCAAAAAATTCGACATATTACATATTTTATTGTACACATAATTATGGAGTACAGTACAATGGGACGATTCGAAAATTCAAACCAGATTCTCTATAAATAACAAACTGTAAATAGATTCTACCAGTTCATTTGTACTTCTTTTTCTATCATTTTTAAAGATTTTTTTCCACAATAGACAGATAATACAACATTAATTTTTCTCTCTACAACTTTTATATAACGGTGGGAATGCTTATGACACTTTTATCAATTTATCTTCATCATGGGATGTCTTCTCCTCCTCCTCCTCCTCCTCCACTCTCATCCTCATCTTCATCATCAGCATCAATACGTATAAAAGCTTTTTCTTTTGTTAAGAACAAGAAAAAAATACAAAATCGAAACAATTTCTTAGATTCTATCTACATAATTATCATTCACAGAGTGATCATGATCAAAATATCCATCAATAGAATGATGCTTAACGTATATATATATATCAATGACCTATAGAAGAGTCTCAATATCAGAGCCTTCTACAGGCTCTTATAACGTATTGAGAGCCTTCTAAAGGCTCAGAGAGCTTCCATAAAGGAGCCAATCTACGTATCAAACGTTCCATCAACAGCAACATTAGAAAAAAAAACGAGAAAAAATATTTATCACAAGAATTCCAATAACTTAAAAAATATGGGATCATTCTATTGACGAAGCGCAAAAAATGTTACAGAGACAGAACGTTCGTCGGTTTGCCCGTAAGTCAAGGAAAAATTATTCACACAAACAACAATATAACAACAATAAAAAACAGGTAACAGATGCCAAAAATCTAGACAACACATCATTAAAAAACTACAAAGCTTACCATATATATATATAAATTTTATTTTATTTATTTTTTTTTTTAGAATTTTTATGTGTTTATATATATATATAGTTTAACAAAATTATGATACACCTAGGCTTTGTCGACGAGGAATGGTAACTATTTCCCCATTTTTTTTATACGTATAATAGCAACAGAGTTGCAGCAGGAGGGCAACTGCAACTGTCTCCCCCCACTGCTCCTATATGGATACACTTAAACAATGTTACCATTTAAATGCTCTTATTTTTGACATATTTTTCCACTTTCCAGGAATAAAAAAATCTTTGGAATCCTGACGACTGGATAAAACTGCGTCACACAAAGTGACGTGGATACAAGAAAAGGATACAGGAATTTATCCTTAAAGACGTATGATGGTTGGTTATGTGCATATACATTATATATATGTATGTATATATATATAATATATTTATATAGAGGTATAGAGTTACTTCTAGGACCTAGATTACACGTTTTTTTCTTTGTATTTTTTTAAGCTACTAGCTTAAATATAGGCTAATTTTTCTGGCCTTTTTTTTTTTACAAATTACAAAGGCCAAGATCACAATGAAACGAAAACGAATCAACCCAAAAATCTTCTCGAACCATTGAGGAATACGACATTGCCCATTCTTCACTACTGAAAGACCCACGTATTGCTAGACAAATTTTAGTGTTTTTTTTTAATTATTTATTATTATTTTTTTAAATTTGTTATAACCCTTGTAAACTCCCCTTTGCCTAATCGTGTTTTTTTTTTAGATCGTTTGGATCGTAGCCTGAAAGGCTTACAGCTGGGGTGTTTGAGAATCTGAAGAACTCGGTGAACTAGTAAGGCTCTGATCGCCTTTCTGTGACAACAATTCTGTTTTTGGTAATTGTTGGACGGCTGGTTTCACTTGACACGAGTCGTCTTTGTCTGTTATCTTGTCTTGATTTTTCGATTCTTTAATTCCACGATTATCTATTCTTGCTTGTTCGTTAATTTCTTTCACAGCACGTATCTCTTTCTTCAATTTCATACGTCGATTCTGAAACCAGATCTTGATTTGTCGTTCTGTCAAGCATAGGGCGTGTGCTATTTCGATCCTTCTCCTTCTAGTCAAGTAGTGGTTGAAGTGGAACTCCTTTTCTAGCTCTAGTGTCTGAAAACGTGTGTAGGTTTGTCTACCTCTTCGTCGTGGGCAACCATTAGGTCCTATAAAAGAAATTTTTACCATAAAAATTAAATAAACGTTACACAGATTTATCATTCTGTAGATATGTAGTATAGGATATAGGGTACAGGATGTAGATTCAACAGGTTTACATATAGAATAATATGTAAGGTGAAAGGTGTATTGTATAGGATGTGAATTCTATAGATATATAGTATAGAATGTATAGTGTAGACATTCTATACCCTCTTCAATGTCAACCTACCCTGTGAGATTTCTTGAAATATCATCTCATTAACATAATGGGGAGCAGTCTCACACCGTTATAACTCTATTCTAAGCCACTGCACTAAGAAATACCTGTAATTAAAGGTTTATGAGCTTATAGGGGATCTAAAACGATATTGCCTCAATTTACTTCAAGCTTTTTCTATAGGCCTCTTATGTCTTGACCTTAGGATAAATTCTTAAAAACTTATTTATTTTTAACATAATGAATAGTAGGAAGGTATACAGACGAACAGATATAAATACATACTCTTAATATATTTGTATATATAGTAGATATAGCTTTTAAATATCAGATATAGGCTATTCTAACTACACGTAGTCTGTAGCTTTACCCTATATTTACGTAGGCCTTATGTAGAAACTAGAAATCCTACTTGAAACTTCTGTAAATAGTGGGTAGAATATAGGCCTGTACTTTACACTGCATACGAGTTCTATAATATTCTAGAAAATAGGCCTGAGTTATACAGTATCTAGTATATAGGCCTGCAAGTTATACAATTGGTGATATGCAGCTGTCTATATTTCCTATTGTAGTTCTGAACTACAGAAAATTCAGGCTGGTATAACAGGCTTACAGATTTGCAGGTTTATAGAAAGGCTTTGAGAACATAAAAAATCCTGTAAGTCGTTTGTTATAAAGGCCTTTATATAAGGTTAGAAGTAAGCTCTATATAAAGCATATTTAAAGCATCAAGGCCTATAAAAATTATTTATATTTTATTATAAAAAATTAATATAACAATTCTAACAACTTATTTCTATTTTCAGGGCCAAGCCACGTGAAAGAAATTTAGAAAAAAAGGAATTAAAAAAAAGGCATAACCCTTGTTGCCGGAAGTTAAACATGGAATTTAAAGAAGGGCGTTTTAAAAAAATAAATAAAGAAATTCACCAGATCAACTTGTGTTTCATAGCTCTAAATTTCTTTCCAAATAACCGTGACGTCATCGGTGAGTAAGTAAAATTCAACCCCCCCTGGCAAGATGAAGAAGAAGAAGGAAGCATTCTGATATAATTTACGAGGTGTTTTTTAACAACAATCCAACAAGCAGTTTGAATGCCTTTGCTGGAATTTTATCTGTCATAAAATCACTCTTATACCCCTCTTTAAATCCTCCTATTCTTATACATTATTCCAAAAACATCATATTTATTGATTTAATTCCACCACAATATTATCACCTTCTGCTTTTTTTTTATAAGGCAATAATACAATATCTTAATGGCTGCGGATAGTAAATTAATGGGATTTCTACAGCATTTACTAAAGGTGAAAGTATTTAAATTTAGTACGTCGTCATCTAAAAAAATGCCTGTGAATTTTTAGAAAGTTACATGAAATTTATTTGATGAATTTGTTTATTTCTATTTTGAAATTTGTGTCATTTTTTATGAAAACTTTTTAGTCTTTCGGGAATTATTTTCGAACAATTTGTGTAATTTTTGAGCATACAGGGAATTATTTGTAATTTTTTAGCTTGAAGGGAATTTTTCGGGAATTATTTTCGAACAATTTGTGTAATTTTTGAGCATACAGGGAATTATTTGTAATTTTTTAGCTTGAAGGGAATTTTTCGGGAATTATTTTCGAACAATTTGTGTAATTTTTGAGCATACAGGGAATTATTTGTAATTTTTTAGCTTGAAGGGAATTTTTCGGGAATTATTTTCGAACATTTTTTGTAATTTTTTAGCATAAAGGGAATTTTTTGTAGTTTTTTAGCTTAAAGGGAATTTTTCGGGAATTATTTTCGAACATTTTTTAAATAATTTTTTAGCATAAAGGGAATTTTTTGTAATTTTTTAGCTTTGGAAATTTTTGGTTTGAAATTTTTAGACAATTTATTTTCTAAAACTGCAGAACAATTTATTTACAAACTACCAGTCGACCCCCTATAACACTGTTGATTTTTCCGTTTTATATGAATTCCATATTGTACGAGTCGCTTGAATTTTACAAATACGTGAGCCGTTCACAACCCGGCACACGTATCTGTAAAATCTAAGTGACTCGTACAACATGGAATTCATATAAAACGGAAAAATCAACAGTGTTATAGGGGGGTCAACTTGTAATCTATAAACTTAGAAGCTCGATTACTTTTGGAAGCAAAAGTACTAAATCAAAGGGGAGAATAACTAAATATAAGTAAATTAATTCATAATAAAAGTATTTTGAAAAATAGTAAATCAGTCATATAATTTCATCAAAGAACACGAATTTAATTAAGATTTTTTAGAGTTAAACAGAATTATTTCAGTCTCAAGTCTATAAGTCTACACCTTAAATCAATAAGACCCATCTACAGACAACTCACACTTGAAAAAAAAAGCAAAATTTCGTCTAAAAACACCCGAATTAACAGAGAATTTTAGATAAAACACAAGTTAGTAGAGCCAAACATTAAGTATATGGCACACCAGATATAACAGAAATCGATAGGTGTGAAGGTAGTTTAGATACGCAAGTACCAAAGAGCACGTTTGAGAAATTACCACCCCTCGCAACAACAGGAGAGGGAGGAAAGAAAGAAAGAAAAAAAAAAAAAAATGGAAATTTTCTTAGACTTTAAAGCTTTATTGTTAGTGATATATGCCCAATATCCTGCTTTATCATGGCGTGTAGTAGGGGGGTTGCACGTGATAACGTGTTCGCTCCTTAAATCCATCTGGTGACAGATCAATGCTTGACTGCGATAAGATATGAATATTCATTAAGCTACCCGTCAACTATCGGAATTAACTTTCACTTTCACAAAGACTTACGAGCAAGAAAAGGAGACTTTTCTGCATTGCTTGTTCAGCAAACACACACATACAGAGAATTACAGAAATGATAGAAGGCCATTCATTCGCTTACTTATCTATACTTCAGGTTTGAAAACCCAATCAGAATTTGTCATAAATTTAAGGGGGGTAAAAAAAACCGAGTGATAAGGCAACAACAATGAAGCCTGAAGGGTTTATTATCATTAAAAAAAAAAGTCACTAGATACCTCATTTAGATTGGAGGAGTTTAGAAAAATGAATGCTTTAGATGAAGTTTAGAATGGGTTTAGAACTTATCTAAACCTCTAAAAAATATATAAAATAGGGTCATTTCTTAATTTTGTGATTATTCTGCAAAATTTTTTTATTGTTCTACTGGCTAATGTTTTTAAAATTATCCCCTTATTTATACCAGGCCTACTCAACTCGTTACATTTCGAGTCATTAAACGTTTATAGCTTTAAAAAATAAGATATATTCGTTCTAAAAAGGCTATTTATGTGCTTAGATATTAATTAAACTAACTGAAATATCTGGTATATAAAAGGCTATTCTATTAATCAACCTATAACAACTTTGTTCTTAATTAAAATAGAGACCATTTACTAAACTTTTAGACCTAGTAAGCCTTATTAAAGCCTTACAGGCTAAAGTAAGGATACTCATTTTTATTTATCTCTTTACAAGCTTAAATTAATGCAATAGGCAGAAGGGAGGCTCAAAAAAAGTTTAATATCTAAACAATTTCTGTGTTTGTATACATTTTAATAAGGCTAAGCTAACCTTGTTATTCATCATTAGTGAAGCAGGCTTGTGAAATTGTAAAAAAATACATATATGAAGGATATTTACTAAAATTTTAAGCATTTATTGGGCCTTAAACAGTTAGCGAAGCTTTAAACGAATTGCTACAAGTTCTAAACCTCTTACCATTTACCTAAGAAAATTTATATTTTTAGATATTTAATTAAGGCTAAGCCTTTTCCATCCCACAATTAACACTTAAATTAACGTATGATACTCGAGAAAGGCTAAATATTCTTCTGTTTTTAGATATTTAAGTGAGGCCAAACCCTCGTTCTTTCACGCTTAACACTTACATTAAGGCAGGAGGCTTGAAAAAAAGGCTAAACAATTAAGTAAAAACTAACTCCTCTTTTTCTATATTGAAATTAGCATAGGAGGCTCGAAAAATGGCTGAATATTTGTGTGTTTTTAGACATTCAAATAAGGCTAAATTAACTTTCTTTTCATTTCTAGCCTACCTCTACACCTTAGGTTAGTGTAAGAGGACGAAGACAGGAAAAAAAAAAAAAACAGCGGGAGCATGCGAGTTATCCATAAAAATCAATAGGATAATTTCTAAAAAATTATTTTTTACGCCATCCTTTCGAAGTTACAGGGTGCTTTTTTTTAAAAAAAAAAAGAGCAGAAAGAAACTACACAAAGGAAGTGTCAAATAAATCTGTAGAATATTACACCAGTTTAGAAAGAGGTAATTTTTTCGTCACAAGTAAAATAACTAGGAGAAGAGAGAGAGAGAGAGAGAGAGAGAAGAGATTGTTATTGTCAAGAATGGACTTTGCTTCTATCCACATTATTTTTGTGGCAGTTTGCGTGTTGCACAAGGGGTTAAGATAATTATCAAGCACGCAGTCGGTGTCTAACAGCATCAGTTTGGACATAAATATCAAAATAATCGTTTAGTTGCATTAAACTGAAACACGAAGTGGGTTCCCTGGGGTTGAAGACTTATTTTCTACCTTCCAAACCAATGCAATAAGTTTACAAAGTATAAAAAAAGGGGGTAGCATCTAACACAGTTTAATTAAATTTAACTCATAGAACACGAGCGAAGTCCATCCCCCTTTTGTTTATGTAGTTAGATGAAAGGAGGTCTCGCTCTCTCTCTCTTTTTTTTTTTTGTGTGTGTCTGCACTAATTACACTACACTTCTTTTTTTGGAGGATGATCCTAT